CCTCCCCCTAAGGGAAACAGCAATAGAGTAGGCACGAAGGACGTGACGATCAACATAGACGAACAACCTTAGGAGCGACATGTGCCTCAGTATGTACCCGACGAAACCAATCGATTGATTGCGAAAATTCTGACCGAATATCAAGGGCCGATTACCGTGAAGGACGCGGACATCGGGCTGTCATTAGTTATTCAGCACGGAACTCAGACTGGGACGCACCTGCCGATTCATTGCAAACCATACCGATATTCTCTTGCGGAGCGAAAAGTAGCATTGCAAAAAATCAGAGAATTCGAGGCCAACGGATGGATCGAACCAGCAACCGAACCATGGTCGTTTCCCATAGTTTTAGTTCCAAAGAAGAATGAGTCGATCTGCATTTGCATTGATTACAGGAAGCTGAATGATATCACGATCAACGATGTATATCCCCTTCCCCGGATTAATGATCTGTTGGATGCTATGTGGCACCCAAGGCCATGGATCCTGCGGCCTAGGCCGTGGCCGAGGAGGCTGGCCACGGGCCCGCGGCCGAGGCCGCGCGGCCGAGTTTCCGCGCAGCCGTGCCACAACCAGGCCGAGTTTCCGCGCAGCCGTGCCACAACCAGGCCGAGTTTCCGCGCGGCCTGCGCACGTCGGCCTCAACGGCCTGCAAAAAAAAAAAAAAAAAAAAAATTGAAAATTTGAGGGGTGGTTTTTGGTAAGTAGCAAAAATAAATAAATAAATAAATAAATAAATATTCATTGATTGATTGCTTTTTTTATTGATGGATTGATTGATTGATGGATTGATTGATTGATTGATTGATTGATTGATTGGTTGATTGATTGATTGATAGATTGATTGATTGATTGATTGATTGATTGGTTGGTTGGTTGATTGATTGATTGATTGATTGATTGATTGATTGATTGATTGGTGGGGGAGGGGTCCTCCCTCCCCTCCCCGGCACACGCACACACACACACACATGCGCACAAACACACATCACTCACACACACACACACACACACGCGCACAAACACACACATACACACACACACACACACAGACACGCACACATCACACATCACACATCACACACACACAAGGCCACACACACACACACACACGGGTCGCAGGCGAGCGGGGGCGAAGGCGTGACAGCGTTGCGCAAGTGACGGTGTATATTTCCATGTTGTAGCACACACACACGCACATACACACACACACAATCAATCAATCAATCAATCAATCAATAAATCAATCAATCAATCAAACCCTTTTTTTGTTGATTTGTTTTAAAATTTTGCATCTTCATTTTTTTTAAACACCTCATTCCCCTACAAAAAACCGAAAATCATTTCTACAAAAAATACAGCACAACTCAAGGACCTATCCCTCATGATAAAAAATGTAAAAAAAAAATTCCTGCTTTTTTTTTTTTTTTTTTTAATATTTTGTTTAAATCAAATTTCGTTTTTCATTTAGAAAAAATCTTAAACGAAGTCGGATTCCAAAATTAAAAACATAGGATTGTAGGTTTTTCCAAGCCCTATACCCCTATATATACAGGGTCACCAGCCTGTACGTATGGAGGTCCCCGGGAAGACCTCCGTACGTACGGGCGTTCGGGGTCCCGTACGGGGTCCGAACCTGACGACGTTCGGCCCCCGCCAAAATTTGTTTCGGGGCCTAAAAATATATAATTTTTTATGAGTTTTGTTTTGTGATTTCTCTATGATGTCAGGTACATGCCTATAAATTTTCAAGTCATTTATCTCAGCCAAATAAGAATTACAAATCGCCAAAGATGGCGGTGTCAAAACGTGCTCGCCCACGTTGTTTTTCATTTTTCACTTATTGTTTTCACTTTAGTTCGGGGTCTAAACAATTTTATTATTTTTTTAAACTTTTTTAGTTGGTCTTGGATTATGTAAAGTAGACATTTGTAAATTTTCAGG